TGGAAACAGCCAGGCATGGTGACTCTCGCCTTTAATCCCAGGAAGCCAGCCTTTAATCCCAGAGAGTGGTGGTATAAAGCAGAAAGATATATAAGGCGTGAGGACGAGAAACTAGAAGCATTTGGCTGGTTAAGCATTTGGCTGGTTAAGCTTTCAGGCTTTGGAGCAACACAGTTCAGCTGAGATTCATTCATTCTGGATAAGGACTCAGGCTTCCAGTCTGAGGAAACAGGACCAGCTGAGGAAATGGCAAGGTGAGATAGCTGTGGCTTGTTCTGTCTCTCTGATCTACCAGCATTGACCCCAATAACTGGCCTCAGGTTTGATTTTATTAATAAGAACTTTTAAGATTCCTGCTACATTACTTATTTTAAATATTTTACATTGATATGGATCTTTGTATATTGATACAAAGTTGAGATTATTTTTGTTAGAACATACTGTACAGACATTTTTAATCTTGTTCAAGGTATTGTACCTATACATCTCATTTAACAACGTAATGCAAATTGCTAGTCCTTGAAAGTTATTATTACAAACTATTTAGGATAATAAAGAAATGCAGGTTAGTAGTTAGTCACCTATTACAATTAAACTTGTAGTCATATTAGGTGTGTTTTCAAGGTCAAACAGATATTGTTAAGGTAGACAGGTGGTCTTCAAACACATCAGAGATCTGCAGAATATGGCATTTAAGATGTTTTAATAACAGAGGTTCTTTTTTTTTTTTTTGACAATGAGACATGTCTTCTCATGACACCCTCCTACCATCCTTGGTATCAACCAAAGGCGAGGGACGAACTCCTGCAAAAAGAGGCCATGCCACGGATAGATGGTTCTACTTAAATAACTGCCCATCCTCCCTCAGGACCAGGCACTGTCCATCAGTTCAGACATCCACCACCTTACACACAGGCCCCAAAGCTTGTTCCATTTCTTAGAGCCCCTCTTTGACCCCACCCATCCTTGAGCTTGTATTTCACAGGTTCATCCCTCCTGCCAGATGTGTGCCAAGACCAACCCTCAGCCTCTGAACCAGCTTTGAGGACACCAACCAGGCAGGGACTGGCAGGGTGATTTCACTCACATGCCCACCCATAAAAAAACTCCACTATTTCTTAACTCTTGTTGACACATTTACAGAATGGATAGAGCCTTTCTTACCTACAGGGAAACAGCAGATGTGGTGACTCAAGTACCCCTGGACCACATCACCCATCAATTTGGCCTGCCACAAACCATATAAATACACAAGCCAGCCTTCACTTCCAAGGTCATGGCCCTCATGTCAGAAGCTTTCAACATTTCCTGGAAATTCCACATGCCCTATCATCCACAATCCTCAGGAAAGGTTGAGAGGACCAATGGACTTATTAAACAGCAGCTCACCAAGCTCTCCATTGAACTCAGGTTATCTTTTCCCTCCCTTCTCCCCATTGCCCTTACCTGCCTCTGGGCCACACCATGCTCTCCTACAGGCCTAAGCCCTTTTGAGCTCCTTTGCTGAAGGCCCTTCCTCCTCAATCACCACCTTCTGACCCAAACTCCTCCACTACCTCCCCTACCTCTCCCTTCTGAGGTCCCTTCTCCAGTCACATGCTGACAGCTATCTCCCTGCCCCCACACCAATGGGCCCAACTGCCCTTGTTCCTGCCTCACTCC